CAAAACCGCCCCCCCCCCGGGTCTCCATTCCCCCTTCCCCCTCACCCGCCAGCCATGCTCGTCACCGGCGTCGAAGAAGGCGACACTCCCCGCCGGAGCTCCGACGAGATGTCGGTGGAGCAGCTCTTGGATTGCAGGGAGGACGTTCCCCCGTGGGCAGAACATCTCACATTTCGAGCGTTTTTCTTCAGCTTTCTGCTGGGAATCTTCCTCTGCTTGATTGTGATGAAGCTGAATCTGACGACAGGGATAATCCCTTCGCTCAACGTCTCTGCCGGCCTCTTGGGTTTCTTTTTTGTGAAGACGTGGACTAAGGTTGCGGAGACGTGTGGGTTTCTGAAGAGGCCGTTTACTCGGCAGGAGAATACTGTTATTCAGACTTGTGTTGTGGCTTGCTCCGGCATTGCTTTCAGCGGTAATTTAGACTTTTTTTTTTTTTGCTGGATTTTTCATGTTGGATCAACTGGTATAAGATGATTAGAATGAGAAAGATTGCATTTTTCTTTTTCTTTTTTGGAATTTTTTTGAGGTAAGATTAGGTTTGAATGCAACAAGTGGTTTAGGGTTCCTTAAGAGATGGTTTATTCTAAGTGTTCATGGGGGCCTAATTGAAGGGTGTGATATTAAGATCTATGAATTTTGCAAATTAAAAAAAAAAAAAAAGGACTTTTTGAAATGTATGAATTAAATTTTTTTCTTGCATGCCATGAAAATTACAATAATATAAAAAATGATGACATTTAAGCATAGTTAGCTCCAAATAGACTGTAGATCATATTAGTTCCTTTCTTGGGCTCTGCTATCACCATCTCTATCCACAAATATGATGCAATATTGAACAATCTTTTCACACAACAAAAGAGTGATCATGCTATGTCAAACTAATGAAGGAATTGAATGATTGAGCCATCCATTAATTGAAAGGCATCACATAAGTGATATTTATATTTTGATATATGCCATCTTCCACCATTCGGCATTAGCTATCAATCAACATTGATGTCAAAGTCATCAAATGCTTAACACAGACAAACACCTCATGCTCGTTGCTCGTTGCTGGACTTCAAAACCCAAAATCCCATCATTTATCTCCATCCAACACCATTTAACATCCCATGTCACCTATCCATGTCACTCATCGTCGATTCACACTTAATGATGCTTAATGCAAAACATACGATCGTCATCAATCAATATTCAATAACCATTAACATCGCCATTCACACCTGCAACTTCAACCACCACCACCACAAGAGACATCCTTCATTGTTGAAGTCTTTACGTTGTAATACCAAATTCTCTTATCATGAAAGGTTGAATCATTATAAAAAATAAATACTAATAGAATTCTTTCAATTAAGCTATAGATTCAACTTTTTCCTTTTCAAAACTTCGACATTAAAATTTATATATTTCTCATTCTATGTTCATCTACATGTATGTTGGATCTTCAATTCACACACTTGACACTACAACAATATTAAAGTCATTTTTAGTGCTGTAAATATTGTTAACATGCAACAATCAACTTTAAACATATCATTTTTAGCTATTCAGTTTAGTTATGACAATAAAAATTCATTCATGTAATTTTAAAAAAAATGAAGTTATAAGAAATTTCTCAACCTGAGTTACATTTAGTTCAGGTGGTTTTGGAAGCTACATATTGGGCATGAGCAAACAAGTTTCAGCAGGCTTCATCGAAGCAAACGACGACATCAACACCAAAGATCCCCACTTGGGCTGGATGACCGTCTTCTTCTTCACCGTCAGCTTCGTCGGTTTATTCTCAGCCGTCCCTCTTCGCAAGGTTCAGACTCTGAAACTTCTTCTCATCTCAAAAAATTCTGCCAAAAAAATCTACAATCTTCCACACATCATTCTTCCATGGTTAATCAATTCATTTTCAGGTAATGATTATTGGGTACAAGCTGACCTACCCAAGCGGTACAGCCACAGCCCACCTCATCAACAGCTTCCACACACCTCAGGGAGCTAAGCTCGCCGGAAAACAGGTTTCTGTTCTCTTTAAATCTCTCGCCGGAAGTTTCCTCTGGTCTTTCTTTCAGTGGTTCTACAGCGGCGGCAGCAACTGCGGTTTCAACAGCTTTCCCACATTTGGCCTCCAAGCCTACAGGAACAGGTGCGCCGTGATTCAAAGCCTGAATCTTTCCTTCAACAATTGAATAAAAATTAGATTTTTAATAACTAATATACTTCACAGATTCTACTTCGACTTCTCTGCCACCTACATCGGCGTTGGAATGCTCTGCCCCTACCTTATCAACTTCTCCCTCCTCCTCGGCTCCATCATCTCATGGGGTATCCTCTGGCCTTACATCTCCAACAAGAGAGGACAATGGTACGACTCCAATCTCGAAGAAAGCAGCCTCCTTGGTCTCAACGGCTACAAAATCTTCATCTCCATCGCCATGATTCTCGGTGACGGTCTCTTCCACTTCATCTCCTTCCTCTTCCGCTGCTCCAACGATATCTACACCAAACTGCACAATCCCAAAGATCAAATCCCCCCCTTTTCCGACCAACCCCTCTACGAATCCACCGCCATGACCTTCGACGACCGCCGCCGCACCACCGTCTTCCTCAAAGACGATATCCCAAACTCCATTCTTTCCGGCGGCTACATTCTCCTCGCCATCTTCTCAATCTTCACGGTCCCATTCATATTCCCCCAACTCAAACAACACCACATTCTCGTCGCTTATCTCATCGCCCCTCTCCTAGCCTTCTGCAACGCCTATGGCTGCGGTTTAACAGACTGGTCCCTCGCCTCCAGCTACAGAAAAATCTCAATTTTCATCTTCGGCGTATGGGTAGGAGAAGAATACGGCGGAGTTCTCGCCGGTCTCGCGGCCTGCGGAATCATGATGAGTGTTGTCTCCACAGCTTCGGATCTAATGCAGGATTTCAAAACAGGGTATCTAACTCTAGCTTCTCCTCGATCCATGTTTATCAGTCAAGCAATCGGCACGGCCATGGGGTGCGTGATAGCTCCGGCGATCTTATGTTTGGAGAATGGTGTATTGAGGACATTTTTTTTTTTTTTTTTGAAAAATTTTGTTTATTGAGGACATTTTAATGAAAAAAAGATGAGAAAATTTTATATATCTTATGTTTGGAGAATGGTGTGGATCACATTATATTGCAGTTCACAAAAATATGGTGTGATTCATGTAGTCGTGCAGACATCAGAATGATGCCTAACATTTTTTCAAAATGATGAGAGTAAGTCTTAATTTTTTTAGTTAAAAGTTGATTTTGTGGGTTTAGATGTTTAGTCAATGATTTTTTTTTATTTTATTTTATGGACTTTTAATTTATTTATACCTTTGGTTGTTTATATAATATGTTTAGAATATAAGGATTAATTTTAAAGGTGTTTGATTCATTTTTTTTTATTAGTGTAATATAAACATAATATAATCAAGAGCTGCTTATTTTAAGTGGGCTTGGCCAAGGACACTGTCTATCAATCAACATGTACAGATTAAAAAACTAGGGGATTTACATAAATATAAAACAATTCTGATGTACAATTATATATCTGACATCTAAGTATTCACAATCATATCAAAATATATGAAAAAAAAAGATATAGATTTCATTATATTTGTGACATGTTAAATATTGAAATGTAAGGGTTAGATATCTAACACATAAGAATTGGATAATATGTATGTAAATTCCCCAAAATACTATTATTTAAACCAGCAACAATACATAAATATTTTCTTTCTGATACAAATCAAACCCAGATGTAAACATAATGAAAAATAATCCTACAAAAAAAAAGGGGAAAAAAGCATTAGTAAGTAGTAACCATTAGTACCAACCCACCTCCCACAAATATATAGTTCAGCCGCCAGAGATCCCCAACAAAGTTCACTAAATTATGAAAACCCACTTTAGAAAGATAAAAAACCATAAACTGATCATATCAAACTCCAAGAAAAATAGGAAAAATGAGTATAAAACGCTTCAGAACACTAAATTTGTGAATGTATGTGGTGAGTTGAATTCTATCAGAGCATTCTAACAATCATTTTACGAAAGCTGAGGCGAGGTGAGCTTTCGGTAACAAGCGAACTGGTTCAAACTCGAGTCTCCTGCTTCTTAATCATGGAAAGATGTTTCCTCCCGGTAATATGCGACTCGTATACGGATTTACTGTTGCAAACAATGTCACAAAGACTGCAAATCATTATGGCTTCTTCAGCAGCTCCTCCTTGAACAACCTTTTCCTTCTTGACCTGCACACCCTCTTTACCTGAAGGTTTTTTCTTCACGGATTCCGGTTTTGCAGTTTCATTATGGCCGGAAGAAGCTACAGATGGCTTTGGGGTAATTTTTTCCTGCAATTTTTGCAGTTTTGCCTTGTGTTTTTTACCCATTTTGTGAGTGTTTAGGGTTTCTTGGCTGTTGCAGTCTATCTTACAGACTTCACATGTAAAGGTTTGAACTGGTTTGGCAGCCTTGGTAAAACTAGTAGCTATGTTGAAGGGTCTGAGGGCTGCTGACTTTTTGGCGTAGCTCATTTTTTTTACATGGGCCATAACTTTTGGTGCCATGGTCCGATAATTTGTTCCGAGGGCCTGTTGGAGTAAACCAAACAAATGAAGAATGTTTATAATGACACAAATTATAATAAAGATAAGTCTGAATAATATAAGAAGTATGGCTCATGTGCATATTGCATGCTGGAGAACAATGTATATGAACATATTAATTCATTATATAAGTGAGGTTGTAGATTTTCAATAAGAAAAATTATGAAAACGAAAATTTAAACAGATATGTTTATGAAATTAAAAAATCGGTGAAAGCACACTTAATCAAACACAAGTGTGAATTTAGAGAGATATTATCATGCATTGTGCAAAAAGCATTATGTGGCAAATCTACATTAACTATGGCAGTAAATTAAACTTAAAAATAAAGAAAAGGAATCAACAGATTTCATTTAAATTTTTTGGGGATTTTACATACCAACCAACCACCCAAATATCGGATATAACATTTGAACCGCCCAAAATGTAAATATAATTTTACAAATTTTTTTATTACCATGGCTTTTACCCACTAGTGAAGGCCTTTGAGTGAAAGTTTTGGATGGCTAAAATGCTATATTTGAAGTTTTGGGTGGTTAAAATGCTATATTTAAAATTTAGGTGATTAAAATGTTATATTCAATATTTTGGGCGGTTATTATGTAAAAACCCCTTGGATTTTATCAGGCACCTAAAAGCTGTTGAGAAATAACAGTAAATCATTTTATAAATAATGGATCATAGTTAAGAATATATTCTAAAAAATAAGGGCCATTTACATACATGGCACACAATTCTTATGTATTTACATATCTCACATCTAAACTTTTCTAAACTTTCTCACATCTAAACTTTCATATTTACACACATAGCACTCAATCTTTAATATCACACCAAAAATAACACTTGCCACTTTTTAAAGTTGAAGTGCACCTTTTCATGCATAGGTTTAAACCACCAAATGCTGTGTATGAAAATATGAAAGTTGAGGAGAGATGTAAATACATAACAATTGTATACAACGTATGTAAATTTCCCACCAAAAAAACATACACTTAAAGTAATAAGAAGCTTGAAGATTACCTTAAGAGCATGTTTTTCTCCAGAAAGGTGAGATGCAAAGACTTTAGCACTGTTGCAAACTACATTGCAAATTGTACAAACTCTTACTGCATCAGCTGATGCACCCCCTTCAATAACTTTCTGCTTCTTTTCTTCCAAATCCAAAATATTTGAATGGATCTTAAACTTTCTTTTCTGATTAAAAAATGAATCAGATGGAAATTACACTTGTGAAGCTAGGAAATTAGAAGCCTTGCCAATATGAAACACAAACCAAGGACACAAGATTACTTCTGATAGAATAGCATAATGCTGAAGAACCAATATTTATGCATTATACCCCAAAGAACTAGTTAAATCACAAGCACTACTTCTGTAAGAATATTTCAAAAGTAATCAATATATACTACAAAAGTAATACAAAGAGAGTTGACTACAGAGTTTGGTGTCTAAATGAAACTTATGCAAAGCCATACGGTCCCAGAAATCTTGAATTATTTCAAAATATTAATAACGAGTCATATCAAATAAGAGAAAACATTCAATCCATTGCCCGGGGAAAACATGGATTTGCTCTCACAAAAGAAACCAAGCTTATGAGCCTTGTTAGGTTTGTGATTCAGAATTTACATAAGGACGCAGTGTAATACACGCTCTTTATTTTAGGCTTTGTGGTTCACAGGCAGGCGAAGTGCAAGTTCAATGTATTGCTTTGCTTCACTACACGCTTTAAAGTGTGAGTTTAACAAAAGTGTCAAGCTTTCAGGTTGTTTCACTAACAAGCATGTAACTCTACAAGTACGTGGCAAAGTCAGCGACTCTTAGCATAGTAATTTCAGGTAAAACTAAAGAGTGTCTCTGCTCAATCTATATGCCAACTTCATGCTTATCCTATACATCACTTAAAGAAAAAGGAATGTTAAATATGGGTATCCTACGACTGCTTTGAGGGATCATCAACCCTAATGAGGGGTTCGATTATCAAAATATAGGAAAAGGAGTTTATTTTTAAAACCAAACTCTCAAACATAAAAGACAATCACTTAAAACAAATTTTCCAAAGTGATGGTTGCAGGAGTGATCATGTAATAAAATACTCTTAAACTCCCCAAAAAATACACTATAGTTCTTTTCTCCTTTTCTCAATGATGAGCATAAAAAATGTAAAATCATGCTTCAATGGAATTCCATTTAAATCTAGCCCATTTTATTGAAAAATATATATAATTCAATGCAATAACTAGATGTTCCTTGCTCAGGCAGCTACTCTTATTTTTTTTTCTACAACGACTTGCCAATGAAAATTTTAAATTTGATCAAAACTCACAAAGGGGAAATAGTATATCTAGTGTATCTACATGATCAAAACCAAAAATCTCAAGGGAATACCACACGCTACTTAACTAGTCTAAGTGCAATGGAGCTATTATTACAATTATGGTCCAAACCCAGGTGTTGACCAATGACCAAGTGTATAAATTGTGAACCATAGGAGGCAACTCAAAATAGGATGAAGTCATCTGCTAGCTAAAACCAACTAAAAATTAACCTCTTTAGAAGGAGAAAATATTGCATCCAAAGGACTCCAATGAGACTTCACCAAGTGTAAGTGGCGGACCCAATGAATTAAAAATGAAAACCTCTATATTTTAATGCAGAACACAACCAATCCAGCTTATTACTTTGAAAACAAACCATTCGCGCCGAATCAATCTGCATATTCTTCTAAAGCCAGGGTTTCACAGAGCAATTTTCTCAATCCCTCTCTCTTGTCGGACGAGAAAAATTGATGATAGATTTGAAAAAAATGATGAGAAGTTTGAAATGGAGGTGGTGAAACCAGAAAAAATGGTGAGATGTTTGAAATGGAGGTGATGGAATCTAAAAATATGATGAGAACTTTGAAAATAAGGTGAGTTTAGCTGCGTTTGAAATGTCAACTTTAATTTATGGTGTTATTGCGGTATTATTCAACAACTTTTGAGAACACTGGTTGAATGCCTTTTTTCCTTTGCTATCATTCCATTAAATAATAATACGTACAATCTATGTAATAATTTATATAATTTATTTTAGATAACCTAATAATACATATTCATAATCTAAATATTCAGCTACAAAGAAAAAATATGTACAATTAATAAGAAGGGAAAATCAAGAGCGATTTAAAGAAGGTAACTCTTAATTCTATCTAATTTCTGTCATTATTGATTGATATCCCCACTCAAATTGATGTTTATTGATCAAGAAGCATCAATTTGCCAATAAGAAACTGATGACGCTGTCGAGAACGAGCCTTGATAAATATATCAACCGTTTGAAGATCAGAAGGGATATTAGGAAGAGAAATAACACCATTATCATAAGCATCTCGAATAGAATTATAGTCCACTTCAATGTGTTTCGTTCGCTCACGAAAGACAGGATTAGCAGTAATCTGGATAGCACTAGTATTATCTGCATAAAAAGAAGTAGAATCAAGTTGAGGAAAACCAAACTCGACCAACAAACCCCGAAGCCAAATTATATCAGAACGAGCATAGGACATAGCATGATATTTAGACTTTAAAGAAGAATTGGATATTCAATTTTGTTTCTTACTCTTCTAAGAAATTAAAGAGTTGTCGAGAAGCATACACCCAACAGTAATAGATCGACGTGCATCAGAACAAGCAGCGTAATCAGCATCACTATAGGTTGTAAAGCAAATACCACAGAAAAAACAAACCACGATGAGACGTGCCTTTCAAATACCTAACAATACTTTGAACTACAGCTAAATGAAGATGTGTAGGTGCTCACATAAAGTGATTAAATGTTGCACAAAAAATGAAATATCATTACGTTTAATTGTCAGATAACTGAGACTCCCAACAAGCTGTCGATACAAAGATGGATCAGATAGGAAATCACCATCATTCCATTGTTATTTAACATTCTCTTCCAAAGGAGTATCAACAAAACTACCTTTTTGGAGACTAACCAAAGCAATAAGTAACTTAGTATAATTATGATGATGAAAAAAAATACCAGTGGGAGAAGAGTGAACCTTAAGACCTAATAAATAAGTTAAAATTCTTAAATCCTTCATATGAAAAGAACCCTGAAGAGGCTTCTGCAACTGAGACATCAATTGAGTATCATATTCTATGATGACAATATCATCAACATAGACTAATAACAACACAATTCCCTTTTTAAACTTGAAAAGAAATAATGAAGAATCATACTAATTTTGAATAAAAGAGAAGCTAATAAAAGTATTGCGAAACTTTTCAAACCAGATCAATAGAGTCTGTTTCAAACAGTATAGATATTGTTTGAGCTTACAAACATCATGTGATGGTGAAGAAAACAAGCATGGAGAAGTCATATAAATATCTTCCTTGAGGTCCCCATGCAAAAATGCATTCCTAACGTCCATTTGTTGTGGACTAGCCTTTAGATGTCGCAATAGATAAAACAAGCAGGATAGTTTTCATCTTGGTCACAGGTGCAAAGGTCTCTTCATAATCAATCCCATATTCCCGTCGATTGCTAAGAGCTACCAATTTAGCATTATATTTGTCAAGGGAACCATCAAATCAGAGCTTAATAGAATAAACTCATTTACAACCAATGGGTTTAACACTTGCAAGACATGAAATACCTGAAGTTCCTTTTGAATGGATTTTATCCAACAAGTGACATATTATATCTGTCAAGGAACATAATATTCTAAAAACAATGAGCGCACCATATCCAACAGAAGTTGATTTCCCCGTTCGACAACTCCAACTTATTGAGGTGTATAAGGACATGAATATTGTGACACAATACCCTTGTTATAGAGAAATGCTTGAAACTCATGAAACATATTCACCACCATTGTCGAACCGTAAGATTAATACAAGTGGAGAACTGTGTTTCAATATATGTCACAAAAGTCTGAAACACAGTAAACACTTTTGCTTTGGAATGCAAGAAATAGATCCATGTGAATCAACTGTAATCATCAATAAATGTCACAAAATATTTATATTGTGCGTGTGAAATAACCGGTGTAATTCTCCAAACATCACTATGAATAATGTCAAAACATCTATTGGCACGATTGTCCAAAATAGTAAAAGGAAATGTCTTACTTTTGTAGAGTTTACATGAAGAGCAATCAACTAATAAACATTTAAATGTAGAACCCAAAACATCACTTTGCAACAAATGATTCAAAACAACATTATTTTGATGACCTAATTGTCTACGCCAGGAGGCACCGACCATATTTTCAACTGAATAAGCTAATGACAAAGTCCGAGGAATGGTAAATTATGATGGAAACAATCTGCTCATTTTAAACTTATTCGTTATCACTTTCCTCGACACCTAATCCTGCAAAATAAAAACATCACGAGAAAAGTGTATATCACAGTTATCATTCACTATTTGACCAATAAAATATAATTTAGTAGAAAATTTAGGAGAATCGAGACATATCGGAAGGAGGAACTAATATCACCAACTGTCGTAATTGAAATATTATTTACATCAGCAACCTGAATACGTTGAGTACCAACATACGAGCGTTGGTTATGCAATAAATCAGTTGTACCAGTTATATGATTTGTGGCGTCGAAATCAACAAACCAAGGAGAAGGAATAGAAGAAATAGTCTTACATTTCCTTTGAAAATCAAGAACAGAAAAGACAGAGAGAATCATTTGTTGAACCATATCTGGTATGACAACAGATTGATTATTGCCAACAAATGTGGAAGTCAAACCAAGATTGTTAAAGTCGGATACCGCAACATGAAGGACTTGTAGTCTGTGATCTTAAGGCCGTGTAGGACACTCCTTAATAATATGTTTGTTTTGCTTGCAACAATTACAGAACATCTTACTACAATGTGGAAGTCAAACCAAGATTGTCAGAGTCGAATACCGCATCATGAAGGACTTATAGTTTGTGGTTTTAAGGCTGTGTAGGACACTCCCTAATAATATGTCTGTTTTGCTTGCAACAATTACAAAACATCTTACAACAATGGCGGTCAATATGACCAAATTATTTGCAGCTGTAACACTGTTTTGTTCCCTTCTATTTTGTCTGAACAACATATGCAACATTAATTATTTCAAATGATCCACCAGCTGCGTTGAGAGAGGTTCGTAACATCAATTTTTGTTCTTCAAGCAGTAATTTACTAAAACATACAT